TTATCTATGTACTAAGGACGTAAAAGAAAACTGCATAACAGGCGCGTGTGTACAATGACTATATAGAGTAGACTGGCGTAATTATAACCAGGCACAAACTCTCAGTGTGTTACTCTTAAATGGTTATAATTACCTCATTTGAGGTTATTTAAGACAGATTATTTTTCTCGATATACATGAACTGGAGTAATTATAACCACTCTGTGGAAATCGCACGGAATAAAGAGAAAAATGATTCCATAGGTTTCGAAAGACCGATTTTCATACGAGTCACATGGTAGAATATGTTCAGAGGACCATATCTATTATTACATGTGAAAATGGGAAGAGAAAAAAATGTTTTAATCGTGTATTCCTGTAAAAAGTAATAATTGGAAATTTCAAATACGTTTTCGTGTCAATATTATTTTGGTAATTAAGTTGTAAGCTTAGTTAGCAATGACATCCAGAAAAAGGGGAGCTATTGATGATCATTAGAGCATCCGCTATCCGATGCACCTTTTCTTTTTCTAAAAGAACACTGTTAACGTCTGATTTCCAAATGTGAGTGTAGTCGGTTTCCATTTTAGTTTCGAAACAAGATTTTTGCAAACTAATAATATATTTGCAATTAGCATCAAAAACTGAATCGCCTGTTGTGTGCCTCAGGTGGTTTGAACAATGCTGATTTTTTTAGATAAAAAAAAGTGATTTTGATGTACAATGACTATATATGACGAGAAAACAAAACGAAGAAATGGAAACGGGAATGAGCACTCTGCAAGGCGAAGTTATACAAACCTGTGGGACATCTCATTTTAATCAAAACACTCTCCTCAAAATAACTCCATAGTTGTTAAGATGGACAGCCTTAAAAGTTTTATTGGAAATGTGAACTTTTGAAAAAGGTGGTTTTTAGGGCTTTCTGAAAACTATTTCAAAAATGTCCAAAGACATTGAAATTTTGGCAAACTGAGATGAATTCTGAAAGATGACACTTTTGGATACCGAACCGAATGATTACTTCAGTTTCGAAGGTTTTGAAGAAAAAATCGAATTTATTGGGAGGAGAGGCCATCTTAATCTGCTAATCTGGGATAGTCGGCTAGCATCTCCTATATTTTACTAATATCTCGTGTATTTTGGTGATATCGTTTTCTTAAGATGTCGGGCATCCTTATATGTTATTTTAAAAGTCTACACATTAAAAATAACATCTTTCACGGTTTTGCACTCAGTGAGGTCGAGGTATGTGATGAACTTAATGATAAAGGTATTATACAGTAAATGCTATTTATCCGAGCATGAAAACAAGAAATGTACGCAAAGTGATTTATGGCTATTATCTTCGTTACGTTTGTTTTTGCGCACCTTTACAATTTTTTTTATAATTAATAGTCTGACAGACGTATATAATCTTTAATTAATTATTTTTAAATATTACAACCTGATAATGATGGTGACCATTTTCTGCTATTTATTATAAAAGATATTATTCTTATGGTGTAAAATTTTAAAGAAAACATTTGCATTTAATGGAGGAGACGAAAAGAGTTGAGCAACAATTCTCAAAGGAAAATTTTCAACAGAATTATTTAAATACACAACAACAGAAACATGAATCGAATAAAACAATAAAACCGTGTGGTTTGACAATAGCTGTTGCATCTTATGCACAACAACGTATTTGGTTACATGAAAAATTATATTTTCAATCGTCGGATAAATTTCATTCAGTTTATAATTTACCAATTATATTTAAAATCAAATGTGGAAAAGTATCAATTCAGCGTCTACGTATGGCTCTGTTAAATATTATTTATAAATATTCAGTACTTCGAACATCCGTTAAATATAATTCAAATAAAAATCAATTAGAACAAAATATAAAATCAATGTCAATACCATTGGGTACTACTAGAGATGCAGATGATTATTATCAATTTCAGTTAAGTAAAATAGATCAAGAGGATGAGTTAAAAATTCTTTTATTAAATGAAAAGAAAATGAAATGTTTTGACATAGAAAATGGAATTGTTTTCAGATGTCATTTAATTAAATATCATAAAGATGACAATAATAACGACAGTGATTCATTATATCATGATGATTTTATTATATTCAACTATCATCATATTGTAGGAGATATCACATCGTACAAACCATTTATTACTGCTTTACAGAATGCTTATGAAAACTGTCAAAATATAAATGATGAAATTCCTTTACAATACATTGATTATACAATATATGAACAACAACTATTTGATTCATCATCATCTGATATCAATAATGCTTGTTTATTTTGGAAACAATTATTAAATGAATATGATTTTAATAAACAACAATTACAATTACCATATGATTATCATCTAAATTCATTACAACGTTCAGGTTACAGTTCATTCATTCGAATAGAACTGGATTTAGAATTAGTTGAACAAATGATTAATTATAAACAATTAATGAATATATCTTTTTTCCAGTTATGTCTAACATGTTACTATCTATTAATTTATAAAATGACACAAGAGAAAGATTTATGTATTGGAATTGCTGTAGCAAATCGTTATCGTTCAGAATTACAATCAATGTTAGGTATGTTTGTTAATCTATTACCTTATCGTTATCAATTGAATCCATCAGAAACATTTTCAAACATTCTGGGACAAGTAAAACAACGATGCTTAGATATTTTACAATATTCATATTTACCTTATCAAAAAATTATTGCTTTACATCGTCACGAACAACAATCATCATCATCACAAACACAATTGATTCAAACAACAGTTCAAGTTGCACCATCATATACCCAAATTGATGTAATTTTGGATAATAATGATACAGTACTTATGAAATTGAATGATGAACAAGACAATAGTGTAATACAATTTGATCTATCTTTATCAATATCATATAATCAACAAAGTAAATGTATAAGCTGTTCCTTTGAATACTCTCAAGATGTATTCAAACATTCAACCATTGAAACAATGTCACAACGATTCCATTCAATCTTAAAACAATTATTTTCATCTTCTTCTTCATTTGAGAAAATGAAACGTCCAG